AAGTTGCGAGGTGGATTGAACTACTGCAGGAATACGACTTTGAGATCGAACATCGCAGCGGGAAATCTCATGGCAACGCAGATGCATTGTGAAGAAGACCTTGTCCTGAAGATTGCAAACATTGTACTAGGCAAGAGAGTAAGGAAGTGGTATCCGTGAGGATGCTCAGGGCAGACCACCTCAGCAACGAGTGGAAGGACAGCTTACTACATGCACAGCAGGAAGATCCGGACATCAAGCCGATTCTGGGATGGATGAAGGCCCGTGCTACCAAGCCTAAGTGGAGGGACGTCTCAGGGATGAGTTCAACCACGAAAAGCTATTGGGCCCAATGGGACAGCTTGCTGATTCAGGATGGAGTCCTGTTCCGTAAATGGGACAATGGTCGAAGGGACAGCTGTCGTTTGCAAATGGTTGTCCCTAAAGCTAAAGTGCCGAATGTTCTACAGCTGTGCCATAATGGTCGTTCAAGAGTCCATCTGGGAGTTAAACGAACTCTACTGAAGGTCCGAGAACAGTTTTACTGGGTCCATTATCGTGACGATGTCGAGGATTGGTGTCGTACATGTACAAGTTGTGCGGCCGTGCGGGGACCTCAGACACGTAGTAGAGGAGCACCGAAATTGTACAATGTTGGTGCACCACGGGATAGAACAGCCCTTGACATTGCGGAGCCGTTACAGAAAGGCGCAAGAGGGACTCCTAAGATCGTCCATGTGGATCGCCTAGCGCGTTATTATGGGACCGATAATGTTCGGGACGAGCATGTCTTAGGAGGGGGCAGTGTTACGCGCTAAAATCGGCGCACTAGCTCCATCTAGTCTCGAACCAAAGAACTAAACTTCTTGAAGTTTAAAACTCGAACTCTCGGTACCTTGCGCGTGTTTACTTGAACATTCTGGATATTTTGCTAATTTATATAAGTAGGCGCTGCAAGATGCGATGAAGTAGAGTTGAACTCGGCGACACAAGCGAAGCTTCGGAGCGGAATTAAGTGAATTAGTGTGTTTAAATATTAGTGTTTTAAGTTTTAATTTGTGTAAAGTTTGCTTTAATTTATTAAAGTGTTAATTTAGGTAATTTTATCGGCAATTTTTATTGTCACGAACCTCAAGCTCGTAACACTTATATTATAGTACACTGTTGAACGTAGAACTCTCCCATTTGCCACGATTAGCAAGCGGGTTGTCAATCTCAGTTTTTTTATCTTTAGTCGTTCTCATAGTTGCCCTCTTCGCCTCTTACAACACCCACAGGATGATATTGGACAGTAGATATTTTTTATGGTTTCCGCCGGTGGGTACACCCCCACCGACAGGAGTATATTGGCAGTTTTCACAGTTTTGTTCACTTTTTAAACATTTTTTTATTACTTATTTCTATGACAAATGGAGAAGGCTACGCGTTTCTGCTATTTGGTACATATTGCGTATGCCTTCTCTTTATATTAATATAAATTGTTTGAGTTTGAAATTTTTGTACATAGTTATTATTCTAATAAAATTATCATTTGGTTAACATAAATATTCTTGTATTTTCATAGTCACATCAGAAAAGAAAAATAAGAGTGATCAAAATACAAAAAGAAAGAATAAAATGAATTACATACTAGAAACAAAGAATAATCTTGACTCTAAGCAAAAAGTATAATATAATGACAATAGTGTATAAAATTAGTATAATGACAATAATATAAAAAAAAAAAACAACCTAATTATAAAAATAAAGTAAAGTAAAAGTTAAGTAATATTAATTCTAAACACAGACAACGTTGTATAAAGACAGCAAAAAAGGGAGGAAACAAACTCATAGAGTAATCTTAATTCTAAACATATTATAATAACAGTGGTATAATAAAATAATATAATGACAATGAAATTAATTGAAATAAACAATCTTAGTTAGGCTTTTGGTTAGGCACATGAATAAAATTGTGAGTACAATAAGGTTGAAAACAGTGAAAATTAAAATATTAAAAGCTCAAAGCATCTTAATTCTAATGATAATCAAAGGTTTAACAAAACTACAACATATAATAATTATTAATTATATCTAATATAATAAATAAAGAAAACAAATTAAAGAGAAGTGGTTGCTTAGTTACTAACTATTACTATTACTATTTACAGATGCACAGTTCTTATTGAAGTTCTTAAGTCTTTTAAAAATGTTATTAACAAATTGAATGAAAGAGTCCAAAAGGGATTTCTTCTTAATTAATGCGGTTAAGTTAAATGGAGGAGTTCTTAAATTTTTACAATGTAGGACATGATTTAATCGTTGCACTGAAAATGCTGGGCAATGGTCAATGAGATGTTCCAGAGTTTGTGGGGTGACGTTATCACAGGGACAATAATTATTATCAATTATTTTGCAGCGATAAAGATAAACTTTGTGAAAACCGTGGTTGGTGAGCACCAGGGTGAGGTAAAAAGTGGGTTTGGTGATAGTGCGTAACTTCGTCGTTTGGTATGTTGGCCCTGCTCTGCGCTGTAACACCTAGCTTGCCAGGTCGCGCGATTTTGAGTCCTGATTGTGTGTTTGAGGTGTAAAATGGGAAAGGCCAATTAGTCAGGTTGTTTGCGCAACTTGGAGCCAGCATTCGCAGCCTTATCAGCTGCCTCATTGCTAGCTATGCCAAAATGACTCCTGACCCATCCCAATTATATGATGCCTATTTCTCGGTACTAGTGTATAGTTTTAGGGAGTTGGTTTATGCCGTGTAGTGGCGGTTGAGAATATACACTACCCCATATCTTCCCGTGGGTGTCGCAAGAGGCGACAGAGGGAGACAGGCAGGAGATGGGCAGCAGCATCTTATTAATAACAACAATAATATATATAAAAACTGCGGTTGCTACCCCGCTCGCCAAGCGTGGCAACTACGGCAAATATCCCCCCATTAATAACGACGCAAACAAACGGCCCCCAGTCTCCGGCGGCCCCGCTATTCTTGGCTACGGTGGCGACCATGGTAACGGCGGGGCAAGGGATGCTAAGAATCTCCGGAGGAGGTTCGTTTGCCACCTACGACCACTCGACCTGGCAACATATAACGTACGCACCCTGAGGACTGACGAGAAGATACTGGAATTGGAAGAAGAGGTAGACAAGTTGCGCTGGATTTATTGGATTATCCGAGGTCCGAAGAGAGGGGGAGGATACGGCAATCCTCAAGTCCGGCAACTTGTTCTACCACCGGGAGGGCGACCATCTGTTCCCAGGAGGTGTCGGATTTATCGTCCACAAGTCTCTCGTCAACAACGTTGTAAAGATTGGGAGTGTGTCGAGGAGGGTCGCGTACCTGATACTCAGAATTACCAAACGGTATTCGCTGAAGGTCATACAGGTTTACGCACCAACCTCGGCACATCCCGATGAGGAGGTGGAGGTAATGTATGAGGATATTTCCAGAGCCATGCATTCCTCCAAAACCCACTACACGGTGTTGATGGGAGACTTCAACGCAAAACTAGACACGAGAGAAAGCGGTGTGCTGAAGGTGGGGAAATTTGGAGTAGGGCAACGGAATCGAAGAGGCCAGCAGCTGGCCGACTTTATGGAGAAAGAGGGACTCTTTATGATGAACACTTTCTTCCAGAAGCGGCCCCACAGGAAGTGGACCTGGTCGAGCCCCGACGGTTCGACAAAAAATGAGATTGACTTCATTATGACGACCAGACGCCAACTGTTCAGTGATGTCTCAGTGATCGCAAGGGTGAAAACTGGCAGCGATCTCCGAATGGTTAGAGGCACACTGAACCTAAACGTTAAGTTGGAGAGGTCTCGTCTAATGAAGTCAACGCTCCGTGCCCCTCGTGCTCTAATCCATAATCCCGAAATCTTTCAGCTCGAGTTACGTAACCGCATTCAGTGCCTAGAAGATTGCAATGCAGTGGACGGTATGAATGACAAGCTCGTGGAAACTTTCCTTGCGGTCGGAGCTAAGTTCTGCAAGACCCGCCGCAGAAGAACACAAAAACTCTCCGATCACACTCTTAATCTCATGGCTGTTAGACGGGAGATAAGGCTGCAATTGTCAACAAAAAGATTTGATAGCATACAGGAAACTGAACAGACAGATCTCCAAATGCATGCGGCGAGACTTACGCAAATTTAATACTGCATTAAAGAAGCGATTGAGCGGAACCAGGGCTTCCAAGTCTTTTCCAGAGATCTGTCTGCCAGAAAGAGCCAACTGTCAAAGCTGAAGACTGAATGTGGCAGCATCGTTTTCGGGACATCTGAGATTTGGAGTGAGATTGAGAGGTTCTATGGGCAGCTGTACACATCATCGTTGGAGCCACACGCAAGTGTGAGTAACGATCCAAGAGCAAGTCTTATCCGACACTATTCTGTTGATATCCTGGACGTCAGTCTGAGCGAGATTAGAATGGCTCTCCAGCACCTTAAAAACGGCAGGGACCCAGGCAAGTATGGAATTACAGCGGATCTTCTGAAAGCGGGTGGAACACCGGTACTTGAAGTCCTTCAGAAGCTCTTCAATTCCGTCCTCCATGCTGGCACTTGTGAGGGGCTGTAATGATGATGATGATGATGGTGATGTATATAGTTTTGTGTATTTGTGTAATGATGGGGTGTGTGTTGCTTCTGTTTTGTATAGCGTGCATAGATGAGAGTGAATCTGTATTGATGACTGTGTGTATTTTTGTTCTTTGATCCACCTGCATGCCTGCAGAATGGCAAATAGCTCCGCTTGGAATACTGTACACGTGTTGTGCAATTTAAACTTCTTTACGTAAGCCACTAGATTTAGATTAGTAGGGAGATAGCCCACGAAGCGGCTCCCACTGCACCGTCTTCCTGCTTACTACCGTCAGTGAATATAAAATGTGTCGTCTGTTCAGATGCAGATCTCGTAAATGTGAAGTTTGTAAATATTTTAGGAATAAAGGGAATACGTTGGACAGGATGGAAGGGTTCAGAGACGGGAGTTAGTTTTTCTAGAGGGATGTCGTTGGGGATGTAGTCAGAGGTACCCAGAAGCCGAGCTCTTTCCATAGCGCAAACTTCCCACACTTTCAGGTCCAGAGGCATAAACTGGGCTAACGCGAGGGCCGCGGATGAAGATACGCTGCGGAATCCCCTAATAGCCTTAATGGCAAATCCGCGCTGCATGCTCCCGAGTGCCCTCCTGATGCATCTTTTCTGGGCAACGTGTCCCCAAATTCCAGCAGCGTAGGTGATAGTTAGCACGATCACTTTGTGGTAAGTGGTACTGATGTTCTCAGGATGGGCTCCCCATGTGGGTCTCGAGTACATACAAAGCGTGTTGAAGATTCGCACGGCCTTGTTGATAAGATGTTTCACGTGTTTCCCAAAGTTTACTTTTTCGTCTAAGATGACTCCCAACAGCTTAACCTCTGGCACAAAGGAAAGACGGTGTCCGTCCATGTTAATGCTGGCTACCTTAGCCTTGGGAGTGAAGGCAATGAGCTTAGTTTTAGTGGGACCGAAGGCCAGCTTGACGCTCTTTCCATAATCGACTATATGGTGGAGAGCCAAATTGGCAGCACTCCCCAGCTCGCCGACACTCGCGGCCGTGTCGACATCATTCCCAAAAGCCTGTATGTGGCAGCCCGCTGGAAGTCTCACATCGAGCAACTCGTCTAGTATGATATTCCAGAGAACAGGCCCATACGTGGAACCTTGTATGCAGCCCTTAGACATCGTCTTGGTGACTCGCCTCCCCGCATAGTCAAGGATGACTACCCGATCGCGGACATAATCCTGGATGAGTCCAAAGATGTTATTAGGGCATTGAATATGGTCAGGGAAGTGTTGGAGTATAAGACAACGGTTCAGTATATCTGTCAGAAGTCTAAGGTAATCTGTTGCAAATTGCAGACATATGTCGGATGTGAGGTTATCAAGTCCGGGAGCTTTCTTGGGGCTCATTTGTTTTAAGCACTCTAACACTTCCTCCTGGGTAAAGGGAGGGTCATCGTGGGACTGAGGAAGGTCGGTCATTTCTGATCTGAGCTCGTGATGTCGCGTTAAGGTATCTGGTGAGTCATCGGGGTAGAAGTGGTCAAGGAGTGCTTTGGCAGTCTCCTGGCTATCTGTGGTGTAGGTGGAGCCCCTATTGAGGGTGACTGGTGGGCGCCTAGGGGTGGCATTTTTGAGGAGTCTGTTCATGAGTGACCAGACATTTTCCTTAGTTTGCAATCCGCAAAACTCACGAAAATGCCTAGTCGACTCCTCATGCATCTTGTTGGCGTATAGTTCCTTTTTTTGTTTCCTCGTTTCTAAAATATGTTCCAGAGGCATACCCTGGCGCTTGGCAGCGTGGAGCTGATGATGTAAGTCCACCACCTCCCGCTTGAGGGTCTCCAACTCCTCCGTCCACCAAGGAGCCTTGGGCTTTGTTCCCCGGCTTTTAACATGCATGCTGGCTCGACATGCAGAGTGGATCATATTGGTTAGTTCAGGTTCAGGTTCAACGTTCAGGGTAAAAATGTCATATTCGAGTATGTTTGTGAGTATCATGTGTATGTGCAGTTTGTCCTTAAAGATAGGCCAACAAACTTTTTTAGATTTGTACAGGAAAGTGAAGTTTTAATATGTGTGTGTGGAGTAAGATGTGTCAAAGTCGATGCAATAGTCTATTGCATTATGCTGAGAAATTGGGGAAATGTTCAAGTTGACACGCCACTCCAAGATGTTATCGATAATGGAGCCGGAAGCAAATGTGAGATCGATTATTGAAGAGCGATCTCGCCCGTGGGTGACCATTTCAAACGTAGGGATGTTACCAACGTTGCATACATACATGTCATTGCTGTGTATTATATCTATAACTTCGTTGCCCCTTGGGTTTGATTTTACGCTTCCCCTAATCGGGTGCTACCCATTGAGATCGCTCCCCACTATCTTATGAGAATCGCCTGTGTTTTTAAGAAATACGTCAAGCTTATCGAGCGTATTTGATTCGTCAATATTGGGCTCCACATATATGGACGCAATATAAATATTGCGATTATCAAACGTAATTTTTATTGCGCAGAAGTTGGATGTAGAGTATTGCGATAGTCTCAAGATGGACCCACATCCTGGTTTTGCCAGGATTCAGGCCTTAATCTTGTTGCCCGTGAAAAATTGATATGTGTCAATTCCAAATGTTGATTTTACCTGTTCTCCAGAACCAATATATGGCTCGGAGATGAGGGCGATGTCATAATCACCGGCCATAAAGGAGAGAAGAATCTCATGTTGTAAATTCTTACATCTGTCGAGGTTGCACTGTAAAATTTTTAATTTATTGTGTGTATCCATAGTCGACACGATTATTTATCTTCTCCCTCATGGCTCGTAAACGTGGGCAGGTGTTGGAGTTAGCCGTGTGTTTAGTGTCCAGTTTAGTGTTGAAACGCGTATTGTGTGTGTGGCAGTTTATGCATTTTGCGCTGTCGGTCTTATTCTTATTAGGACAATTGCTCACATCGTGCTCTGCGCCCGCAGTGCACCTTAGTTTTGTATGTCCGATCTGCAGGCACCTGTGGCACTGGAGGAACGGCGTGAAACTAGCAACATGGACACGCTGGTAATCGATGCTGATACGACCCATTGTTAACATTTTACTGTATACCTTAGGCTCAACTAGAAGAACCACGTTATACAGGTTATTGTTCTTATTGTTCCGTTTAAATCTTAGCTTGAGGCCATCACCATCATCACTGATAATTTCGTTAATTTAACTTCAAAAGAATTTGTAAAATTATGATCCCGTGGTCAATATAAGTAATTTAGTGTAAGTATCGCAGTCGTTCTTTTGTCAAGAAAAGGCTTAGTAGTAGAAAGTTCTTTAGGGTTTCTAACAAATTCAGCAATGTGACCAAACATGGCAAATTTATAACTTTAAATGAAGTTGAAAATAAAAGTATGAAGCTTTCTACTACCTTAGTAAAATTACATTGGTATTTTTGTTGTATTTATTTTTGCTGTAATTTTTTATGTTGAAAGCTTTCAATATTTTACAGTTGTGTGCTGGTGCTTCGTTTTTGGTTTAAATAGGCTGACTATGATTTCGTAGATATTGTAAATATAAAATGGACGAAGAAGTTTCTTTGGACCATATTCTCTACTCCTAATAGTACGGATTATTCCGCACCAATCGATGTGGTAACTCTTTGACTTACATTAAATAAAATTATAACAATTACTTTTTTAATGCGTACATCAAAACATCAAAGGGTAGAATAATTTGCCGCCGTCTGTCATTCCGTCCGAATACAATCTGGGCGTTTTCAAGGCGAGTTCAAGGCTTTTGTTACGCTAAGACAGTGCGACTTACCATCTGAGGCTGCATCACCACTTAACACCGGGTGGGAATGTAGTCAAGTACTGGCTTATAAAAAGTCCGATCTGCAGGCACCTGTGGCACTGGAGGAACGGCGTGAAACTAGCAACATGGACGCGCTGGTAATCGATGCTGATACGACCCATTGTTAACATTTTACTGTATACCTTAGGATCAACTAGAAGAACCACGTTATACAGGTTATTTTTCTTATTGTTCCGTTTAAATCTTAGCTTGAGGCCATCACCATCATCACTGATAATTTCGTTAATTTCCTCATTTTGCTGTCTAATAATTTTTGTCAGATCGTCTGCAGGAACATCCTTTGATATGCCCTTTAATATGACCATGGGTCTCAGTTTCCGTACGGGTTCAGCCTTAATTTCAGTTTTTCCCTCGAGCCTCGTTAAGGTGTCATTGCGTTGAGTCTCCGTGTCGAACTAGACACGCAGTTTGTTGTTGGACACAGGCTGTATACGAGTCGGTGCGTAATTGGCATTGCGGTAATTAATGTTTTTTTTAAAATAATTCCATAGCCTCCTGGCTTGTATTAACCTCGACGGTCGGGATAACTATGATCGCCGGTTTAGTCGCTGGTGGGGAGCTGCGGAGGGCGGTTGGCCCAGCAGGTGCAGGAACCCCGTGAGTCGCTGCTGCTGCTTGTGCGTAAGAGGACTTGTTGGCTGAGACAAGTTTTTTAACACTGGCAATCTCCTCCCTCACACGTGCGAGGATCTCATCCTTTAACTCGCTGTTTGATGTTGGTGTGCTAGAGGAGGCGACAGACTTGATGGAAAGGAGAGATCGTGTGACAGTTCTAATTTCTTCAGCAGCTTGGCTAGTAAGTCGCGTATTAGCCGCGGTCACTCTCTTCCCTACGTTTACCGCGGTACTGATGCAGGAGGTAAGTTTGCTTATCATCATATAAAAACTGTCTATGTCTTTAACCTCCTCGGCCGAAGCTGGGAGGGGGAGGGGTTCGCCCTGTGACGGCGCCATTTTCACTCAACACACATAATACAATGTAAAAAGTTGGTAACACGAAAATAATAAATTATTTAAAAAAAAAATTAAAATGTCTATTATTGATATATACTTTGGTTTAAAAAGTGCATTTTTAATGTACAGAGATAATATAAAATCAAAAATTAAAGGAATAATAAGAACATAAAAAATTTAAAGAAATTGAAGTTATGTAAAAGAAAAATACTTGTTCAAAAAATATCTGAAATTTTGCACTGTTATTCTATAATTGACAATTGACAATTGATAGTCACTAAAATAGGTTATCACTCATAATTTTATTGCAATAATTGCTTAAATTTACAGTACATACTTGGGAAAGAACTGCAAATAGGCTGGTAAAGTCCAGGATAATGATTTCCGGCTGAAACAGGATACGGTGTTTTGTAGCACAGGTCTCCCCCTTTGAAGCGGCGTTTTCAAAAATTTCCGGAGACGTCTGGATCAATGGCCCAACGTGGAGTAAAAACAACCAAACTTGGAGATGCGTACTCCAGAAATTCCAATATTTGGCGGATCACAAGACGCACAAAACGACACCAAAAAAACTATGTGTACCAGCGAAAAATCGTGCGCCGCACGCGATTTACCGTTTTTTACGTTAAGTCATATAAGGAAAAATGGTTTTTCACATGAAACACCAAAAGACACTCGTTTAGATGCAACTTTTAAGACCAAAAACACTGTTATTCGATCACTTTTTTCCCACTTTCCCGAATTTTAAGTGCGAAGCGTCGCACTTTCGTGGCGTTCCTCTGACCCGACCACTAAAATGTTTTGGATAATGGATATTTTAACGCCGCCACAACACTGATTACTGTAAACTATTATTTTAATACACAAATATCAGACATCCACCAGCGTTACGTTCCTGCCGAAACTCCGAAAATGTGTTTTGAAAAAATTCATAATTATTATACCTGTTTCATTATTGTGAATCCATATAATGCAGTTCACTGCAGTTTATATGGATTAGAATAGCATAGAATAATTTTTTATTCTTCTTGAAAGCCATTTTTTAATTTACTACTGGTTCGAAAAAAAAACCTCTGTGTTGGGAAGAACCAGCAAGAAACCAAGCGGGACTATATAACAGTATAATATTTATTATTATATAGTCCCGCCGGTATTATAGTAAGGTAGTCCGGTGTTATAATAATATTTACAAAATTTATTTTGGAAACAGCTTGGAAGCGACCACCTCATTCCCATAGGTTATTATCAAACATATATTAATTTATATTATAATAACCCTTTTTATATACTTTTTGTTTAATTAAATATTTAAACTTGATAATAGGGAGATCTTGTAAATTTTTTAAGACTTTGTTTTACTTTGAATTACTGACTCTATGGAGTCGAGATACTGATATCCATAGCTTGTGTTTGTTACTAGTATTAACAGAGTGTATATCACTTTTTTTTACTAAAACTTCCTTTGTTTTTTTTGGGAACATACATTAGCTTTAGCTATGGAACGTACTTTTTTAAATGTTTTAGAATAAGTTTTAATATACTCTCCAAATACAGAATAAAATAGACTTATTAATTGTATACCTACTGAAGAAGTTTATATCATAAATTCGCAATCGCAAAGCTATACAAGTTTCTTGGCGATTATCGAATTAAATTTCTTATATTTTAATGATGTTTCCGGACGTAGTCATCCAGTTGTGAGGTATATAATTTTCATATGTATAAAGCCCGAGAGAGTCACGGAATATGCAAAATACCTTAAGACATCTCACACGGGGCAGGTATTGTAATATAAACTTCATCTGCCAATTTTTTTAATTAAATAAGAGTAATAAACGATTACACATTTCACCTGATGGTAAGTGGATGCTGTGGCCCTTAAAAATCTACATTTATTCTCAATTAAGAATCAAGATACAGCTATCACCACCGAGGACTAAGATGGAATGTCACGTTTCTAGCAAAATGGTATCTAGTTCTCTACACTCACCATTCGAAACATGCTGCTATTTTACTCTGGTATTATGTAAGAGCGTGGCTCTACAGCGCATAATCGACTGATCTATAATATCATTTTTATCTGCGGGTACATACTCCTGCTACTAGACATAGATACAGAATGTTTTATTTTTAAAATTGATTGTTAAAGTGATGCAAATATTGAAGTATATTTGGAATATTTAAGTGGCTGGCGCTCTAAACGTTTGCAGTCTGAGATTTTATTCACGACCACTCTCGCCATTACATCAATTCGGATAGAACATACTTTTTCTGATTTTTGAAGCTGTTGACGTTGAAATATCTGATTAGCATTCTGTGTAGTTAGTAAAATTAAATTATTTCATAGGTTTGGGTTTAAGTTTATTAAATACACTGCAAGACTGTAAGATGCAAAGATGTCGGAAGAAAATAAAAAAAGGCTGAAGGTAGCTTGGCTTATCTTGCAAACGTTGCAAATTTGATAAAAAATATTCCCCTATGAAGCAATCTATGTTCACCAGTGAACTTATAATAGACTGAAGGGTGGATCATAGCTCGAAAAATAAACTTTATTAGATATATAGGTTAGTCTGATATCGAGCATTTTGAAGGTGTATACGAGCCTTTGTATAGGCTCACGCTCCGAGCATAACTCACATCGGCGAAAGTTTCCTGAAAGAATTTCACCTTGCCTCACTAGCGAATTGTTTCTCGACGTTCTTGGAAACAATATAGATCTACGTGACTATTGGAACAAGTGCTTTAAATTTAAAGACTTAAGTAAAATATAAGTGTAGTTCTTTGCGATTCAAATAGTTAAAATATTGTCATTAGTCTCGTATAACTTTCTGTTCTGTTATCTTCTTCTGTTTCTGTTATCTCATTATCATCCGCTCGTAAAAATCTACTGCTAAACATAACCCTATTTAGTTGCCTATTGGTGTAAAGGGAGCGGGATGGGGGAGGAGGCGTTTGCCTTTGTTGCCACGTTTGCCAGATGAATCGACTATTGCCGTACCAGTCTGTCACTATCCACCATCAATGTCATGTGTGTAATGTTTGTTTACATAACAATCATCGGATTGTTAATGATCGGCACAAAGCACGAAAGGAGGGTCAAATTTGAAAAATTCAAACGATGCAGAATATCATCTGCATTTCTTGACTCTAAAGTGATAAGAGATAGTCATTCAGTCTCGTTGGGGTAATCTGATTTCTTTGTTGTAAGAAGATCCCTTATACCATATCATCCCTGGGTTTCAGGAGAAGCGCCAGACTGAATCTAAGGCGAGAGATGGGCAGCCTCTTCTTGGTAACAACTCAAAATATTTAAAAAAAATGCGATTGCCAACCCGGCTGCATAGGGTGGCATCTTAGGCCTAAGTTTAAAATTGTAATGATGATAAGAAAGATATCATCGCATATGAAATTTAATTGATGCATGGAAGTATAAAACTTCAAAAGAATTTGTAAAATTATGATCCCGTGGTCAATATAAGTAATTTAGTGTAAGTATCGCAGTCGTACTTTTGTCAAGAAAAGGCTTAGAAGGAAGGTTCTTTAGGGTTTCTAACAAATTCAGCAATGTGACCAAACATGGCAAAAGGGGGCGCCCATTTTCGGCCATGGAACGCCCAACAATGTGAATTTGTTAAAAAATTATATCTTTATTTATGGTTATGAATCGCGGTATTCATTTATCCTCAAACAATGTGAATATTTTTGCACAAATTAAAAGTACCGGAAACATAATAATATTAAACATATAATAAAATTAGGTAAATCATTATGTCATTAGTTTGTGAATAAAAAAAAAGTGTTGCCAATCACAAAACACATTTAAAAAAATCGATTCTCTTTTTCGATCGATTATTTACGGTGTCATCATTACAGTGCTAATATAATTTTTAAATAATTATGATGTTACGATAATTAAACAAGCTAATTACTAGCTGATTTCCAATGAATTCTTTAGAGACTAACAAATGCTACGGCACAATTTAACTGTTAATCTTAACCGATCTTCTTTGAAAACAGATAAGAACTGTTATTCTTATCTGTTTTTAAAGAAGATCGGTTAAGTTATTCTTATCTGTTTATAACAATACATTTAAAATAGAATCATGTTATGGTAACGAAACAAGTTAGTTTCCAGCTGATTTACCATGAATCCTTTAACCTTTTGAGCGCCAAAGTCGCCTATACTTGACCAACACCTGCGGGCCCTGAGCGCCAACGACGTCTATAGTTGACAAAAAACCCGGCTCCGAAAAATATGAAATATAGATATTGGAAAATTATTACAGGTATTTTAATTCTACACTCCTCAAAATAGGAATAACCCAGCAACATGTGAGTATAAAAAACAAGTATTCTAGAACCACAAGTACTAAGAAACATTGAACTAATAAAAATGGATTTTTATCTAAGCAAATACTATGTCCAGCACGCCAAAGTCGTCTATGGTTGACCGCTAGTGTCAAACGCGGGAGGCATAGATTTCTTGAAAACTATCCAAAATTCAGCTCAATGGTGTTTTTTTTCTATTATTATTGATATTTGAATAAAATTAAACTATAATTAGCTACATGAATAAAAAATGTTATCAGATTATTTTCGCATAATAAATCTAATATCTCAACTCTAGCGCATCTTTAGCGCGTCATCGAAAATCAGTTCACTGGGCACTGTGATCAAGGATAGACGACACCCTGATGACGTCATAAGTGATTACCGAGAAAAGTAGAGCAATGCAACATGAACGATTCCTCAGAACTCATTCGGATTTTGGAAAGCGTCGATGATGATGAATTTTGATTTTTGATTGATGAATTGAATTTTTGATTGATTGGTGAACAAATATGTTTATTTATTCCATGACCAAGATTTTAGTATTATACGGCTGATTTACCTAGTGCGAATAATTATATACAATTGTTGATTAATGAATAATTATGTACCTTCTTTAATAATAATACAAAATTACAATTAATGTTTTTTTTACTTAGGGTGTGAAGAGC